CTATATAAAATTCACAAGGGTTGTTGTAAGTTACTGATGCCCATCTCAACAGTCACCCCCTCCCTGGCCACCATGTGAATTCCGTCCTTTTCAATGTCACTGGTGTCTCAGAAAGGTATTATAGGAGAAGGTTTCTCAAGCTTTCCCCCACCCCAACCTCTGATAGACTTGAGCAGGGGATGGGGCTGGGTCAGTCTGTTGGAGCCAGCCTCTCCCTTGTCCTAGGATTCTCTGCCCAAGCTTAAGGACCTGGCGTTTCTCAAGAACCAGCTGGAGCACCTGCAGCAGCGTGTAGAAGACGAAGTCAATAGTGGTGTGGGCCAGGTAAAGTTGCAGCTGCATCCCCCCCCCCCTCCGCCTTACGCTTCATTGCCCAATACGCTTTTGAATGGATGGTAGAGATTTATTCAGCAAATGGTTGTTGAGGGCCTGTTCTCTGTGACTTCAAGGAAAGTGTCCCTGAGAAAATGGCAGTTGAACTGGGATCTTAAGTAGGGGTTAACTAAGTGAAGAGGGAAGGAAGGAACATTCCAGGCAGATGGAACAACATATGCAAAGCCCTTGTGGTAGAAAGTAGCATGATAAATGGATGAAAGCTGTTCAGTGTGGCTGTAGTAGTGGAAGAACATTATAGGAAATGAGGCTAGAGAAGCAGGCAGGAGTCAGGTTCCTCAGAGACATCTCCGGCCTTGTGGCAGTTCTGTGTTTGGAACCTTTTAACCCCAGGGTTCTGAGATTGTGTGATCAGGACTCCTAGGTTCTTTTTCTGCCTCCAAAACTTTGAGAAAATCTTTGGAGAGAATACTACAGATTTCCAGAGTAAGGATGAGCAAGTGGTGGGATGCTCTAAGCTCAGCTTAAGTAGCTCCTGGTTAGAGAAGGGGAGAGCCTGCTGAGTTTTCTCCTGAATCTTCCTTTACAGGATGGGTCGCTCTTGTCCTCCCCATTCCTCAAGGGCTTCCTGGCTGGTTATGTGGTTGCCAAACTGAGAGCATCTGCAGTATTAGGCTTTGCCGTGGGCACCTGCACTGGCATCTACGCAGCTCAGACATATGCTGTGCCCAATGTGGAGAAGACATTGAGGGACTATCTGCGGTCACTGCGCAAGGGGCCTGACTAGCTCTGGATCCCATGGGGGAGGCAGGATGAGCAACTCGAGTCTGCAGGTGGAGGCCTTTCGACCACGGACACCATATCTGGCTTCCCCAGCTCTCACCCATTTTCCATCTCCAGCTATCCTGCCACCTTCATCTTTGCATCCCTTCCTGCAGAGGGTGGACAGTGGCTCATCATCATCAGCCAGCACACTGGGCTTCTTCCCTCCCTAATCCCATGGGACTGGTCCCAAGACTGTGGCTTTAGGGCCACCAGCCCCTTTCCAGCCCTGACTGTGGAGTTTGCAGCTGACTATGATCCTCAGTATTGTCTCTGGCAATGTACCATGGCTCCTCTCTCCTGGGAGCCAGCTCCATACCTTGATTTTCCCCAAACATGTTATGATCTTCACTGCCCCTTTCTAGCTCCACAGGCCACCCAGGGTCTGTTGTGGGCATGAATATAGAGGACGGGGGTGTGCCAGGCCTGGGCCGTCCCAGGCAGGCTCGCTGGACCCTGATGCTACTCCTGTCCACTGCCATGTATGGTGCCCATGCCCCATTGCTGGCACTGTGCCATGTGGATGGCCGAGTGCCCTTCCGACCCTCCTCGGCTGTGCTGCTGACTGAGTTGACCAAGCTGCTGTTGTGCGCCTTTTCCCTCCTGGTGGGCTGGCAAGCATGGCCCCGGGGGACCCCATCCTGGCGCCAAGCTGCCCCCTTCGCACTATCAGCCCTGCTCTATGGAGCTAACAACAACCTGGTGATCCATCTTCAACGTTACATGGACCCCAGCACCTACCAGGTGCTGAGCAATCTCAAGATTGGAAGCACAGCCCTGTTCTACTGCCTTTGCCTCCGGCGCCGCCTCTCTGCACGCCAGGGCTTAGCACTGCTGCTGCTGATGGCAGCAGGGGCTTGCTATGCCACTGGTGGCCTCCAGGACCCTGGGAACACCCTTCCTGGGCCCCCGCCAGCAGCTGTAGCTGGCCCCATGCGCCTGCATATCACTCCACTAGGACTGCTGCTCCTCATCCTGTACTGCCTCATCTCAGGCTTATCGTCCGTGTACACAGAGCTGCTCATGAAGCGACAGCGGCTGCCCCTAGCACTTCAGAACCTCTTCCTGTACACTTTTGGCGTGCTCCTGAACCTAGGTCTGCATGCAGGTGGTGGCCCTGGCCCAGGCCTCCTGGAAGGTTTCTCAGGATGGGCAGCACTCGTGGTACTGAGCCAGGCACTAAATGGACTGCTCATGTCAGCTGTGATGAAGCATGGCAGCAGCATCACACGCCTGTTTGTGGTATCTTGCTCACTGGTGGTCAATGCTGTGCTCTCAGCAGCCCTGCTGAGGCTACAGCTCACAGCTGCCTTCTTCCTGGCCACGCTGCTCATTGGCCTGGCTGTGCGCCTGTACTATGGCAGCCATTAGTCCCCGACCACCTCCACCCTGACTCCTGACCCCATAGATTGAGTGCCATCATCAGAGCCACCTCCCAGCGGCTCCCGTTCCCTCAGCAGCCCTGTAACAAGTGCCTTGTGAGATAAGCTGCAGAAGTGAGAGCAGCCAGGTTAGTCTCTGGAGGTGGATGGATGAAGGTGTACTCCTGGGAGACTTGTAGAGTGGGTTTGGTTAAGGAAATTCTTAACTCGCCCCTAAGTTCTTCTAGACTAAGGAATTGAAGGAGCATCAATACCTAGGCCTGAGAAATGACTCCATCCCTGATGGAGGAGGTTCCCTGCTTCATCTTGCATGAATGCACTTGCTTAAAGTGGGGTGTGGGCAACAGTTGGTTTCCCTTGCCTACCGTCACTCCAGCAGACCCACTTCCTGCAGGCCTGGTGCCGGCTGCCTCAGCCCAGCCATGGTACATGACTCTCCCATAAAGGCTAGTCACCCCCTCCCTCCGCTGTCCTGCAGGAAAGTCCAGTTGCCACAGACGACATACCCATCACCTTGTGCACTCTGCCAAGCTCCCCTAGTTCCAACAGCGCCTGGAGACAGTGCCCCTTGCTCCCTCCAAGTGCTGCTCTCCACATCCAGCCTTTGTTCTGGAAACTCCAGAGCGGTTGGGGCTTGACTCATCTCAGGGAATGTTGCCCCTGGGCCCTGGCTTAAGCCTACACACCTGACCTCTCTGCTCACCCAAAGGCCCTCTTGAAGTCCACTGCCCCCTCTATAGCTCCTAGGAGGTACCATCCTTCCCACTGGGTCCTGCCCTTGCCTAGCAGTGCCCCAGCTCCCAACAGCCACGGAAGCTCTACATGGAGTGACCTGGGACCAGGCACAGGGAAACTTGTATAGTTCAATCAGTGTGTCTAACTGCATAAGCAATAAGGTCAATAAAATGTTCCGGGGTGTAGGTGGTTCGTACAATCGGCCACGGTTGTCCTGTTGTCTTCTGTGTAGCATAGCTTCTCTCAAACAATTGTGTTCCCCTGGTGCCCTGAGTATCTTAATCATGGGATAACTTACAGACTAGGAGGAATGGCTGTTTTCTCCCCAGTGTTAGCAGCAGCATTTTTTCCTTGGAGGACTCCATGGAGCCAAGGCTGTTTTCTGTCACAGAGCTTTTGAAATGTTCCTGAAGCACAAAACTTGGGTGCTGGGATTTTAGAGGGAGTCTTAGAAATAGAAGGTGCTAGATCCAGCAGGACAAACTAGGCTAGAGAACTCTTAAGGACTGAGTGTGGTTCTGATTCTCGTTTCTTATGGATCCCTACTGCCTGTCATCTGCTCTCATGGCCAGAGGAATGTCAGGCCCTGAGCCCATGATAGAATACCTAGTAAGCTTTTTTTTTTAATATATGTACATACATAAAAAAAGTCTTAGACCTATTGAAGCAGAATCTTAGGAAGAAGGGTTTGAGAATCTTTTCCTCTTCTTTCCTTT